CGATTACATGAAATCAACTTTAACTTGAGAATATCCGTCAGAAAAAATCATAGCATGTAATTTGTCATTAAAAAGACAAACACATGACATGATGACAGTAAAATTCTCCTGTTAGTGATTCCATAGTAAATTATGAGGGAAAAACCAGGAAAAAAAACCTCATAATACTATCCCGAGATGGTAAGTATTTTTTCGTGCATTTAGTTTACCTTCAATAAACATCAAAATTCTGATTTTATATGTTTCTTTAATTTAAAAAAAAAACATAAATGATGTATCCTCTATATGTTAATGACTTACTAATACTGGTATTTTCTTATTAATAACTTCCTCTTTCAATATTGGTAACCAGATTCTACTACATTCTGCCGAGGAATTTGCGACACAATTGGCCTCATTTAGCATAATTAGAGCCGCTTCTTTGATTTTTCTTTTTTTACCATCTGTTTCTTTTAGGACTACATTTGAATTATTCCATTGAACCCTATGTTCATTATCCCATGCGTGTTTACATATTTGAGATCTATCAAATTCTCTATTTTTAATATAAGATTGATGTTCACTTGTCTTGAGATAAGATTGAGATAAGATTCATAAGATTGCCTTGATGTTTCACCTAAATAAACATGATCGCATTCACAAGGTATTTTATAAATGCAATTCTTTGTCCTTTCTTGTTCATTGTTAGGTTTGTTTTTGGACAAAATAGATCTTAACGTGTATGTTATTTTGAATGTTGTTGAAATGTTGAATTTATTTCCTATCCTTTTAAGTTTTTCTGATAATCCTTTTATGTAAGATATTGTTATTTTTCTCGTATTATTCCTTGTGTATACTGTAGGATCTCATTCTAAGTTGTTCTGTTCTATTCGATCGATTGTTTAAAATTCCTTAATTATAAACGATAAAGGAGAATCATTTTTTAATAAAACAGATGTTAACAAATTTTTCTCCTCCAAGAACGAATTTTCGTTAGAACAAGTAATTTTGGCTCTATCGTATAAGGATTTAATTATTCCCTTTTTTACATTAATATTGTAATTTGATTTGAAATTTAAATAGCTATTGGTGTGTGTTAATTTTCTATACACCTGAGTCCTATACCCAGTATCCTTCTTAGAGATTAAAACATCCAGGAAAGGTAGCGTGTTATTATATTCCTTTTCCATGGTAAATGTTATTGTCTCTTCTTTATCGTTTATATCATGTAAGAATGTGTCCAACAACTCTGATCCATAAGGCCATATTGAGAATACATCATCTACATACCTGCACCATACTGTGGGTTTTAAATTTTGTTTAGAAATGATATTTGCTTCAAAATCTTTCATAAATATATTGGCTTAGAATGAAGATAAACTAGAGCCCATTGCTAGACCAAAATTTTAGAACAAAAGTTGCGACCAGGAGCGCAACTCAACAATACTGGCAATATCATTTTAAAGTCTACATTAAAATGCATAATGTACGTCTGAATTGTCAATATAAATGAGTCAGATAAAATTAAATTATTAGAAGAATTTTTCACTATGTAACAAAAAACAAAATTTGTTTAATTTACTGTTTGTATTTTGAGAACGATTTCCGAAGTGGAAATTGAAACGTCAATAATCCAGCGTATAGTCACATACTAGTTTTAGAAGGCAGGTGTACATATCTCCTCCAGAAGATAGTTTCCAAATTCCCGATACACTAGAAATTAATCATGGTGACTTAAAATATCGCATATTTTTTACAACGGTTTCATTATGCTATAAGTGCAAGCAACCAGGTCATTTTGCATCTCAATACCGGCCCTCAACTCCAAACTTCAACTTCTTCATATACTAGATCACATCAAGAAAGTTCCTCTCTAAATCATTCCTTCTTCTTCATGTGCCTTGTCACATAAACGATCAGCTGTAGTACTCTATATTTCTTATGTCTCATAACGTGACCCAAGTATTCCAACATTCTTTCCTTTATACTTATTCCTACCTCTCTATCTCTCTTTACCTATCCGGCGTAGTACCTCTTCATTGGTCACGTGCTCAATCCAGGATATACGTAATATACGTAGGTAAGCCCACATTTCGAAGGCCTCTCCTTTTTTCATCAATGTTGCGGTCATTGTTCACACCTCCATTTCATATAACAAAACCGGGAATATATAACATTTCAGAAGTTCAATTTTAAGAAGTAGGGTGAGGCTTTTAGAGGTGAACATTTGCTTCATGCTAGTGAACGATACTCTTGCCTTTTCTACTCTTATACGTATTTCCTTCGCTTGATCCCAATTTGAGTTAACTCTTGTTCCCAAGTAGATGTACGAATCCACGTGTTCAATTCTTTCATTGTCTAATATCAGTTGCTGTGGTGGTTGTTGGGTTTTGCTTACTAACATCCATTTGGTTTTTGTGATATTTAGTCTGAGTCCGTATTGTGCACTTGTTTTTTGTATCTTACTCATTAGACAACTCAGTTCCTCTATGCTACTTGCTAGAATCACAGTGTCATCAGCATATCTTATGTTATTAATTATTTCTCCATTTATCTTTATGCCTTCTGTGCTTTCCCCCAGCGCTGTCTTAAATACTTCTTCTAAGTATATATTAAAGAGAATTAGAGACAAGATACAGCCCTGTCGTACCCCTCTCTTGATCTCAATTTTATTGGTCAATGTAGATCCTACTTTCACTTTAGCTGTTTGACCCCAATAAAGACTCGCTATTATTCGAATGTCTCTGTAGTCGACTCCGATCTTACGGAGAACTTCAATTATCTTTTCGTGCTTTACGTTATCGAATGCTTTTGCGTAGTCTATAAAGCATATGTACACGTCTTTGTTCATATCTCTGAAGCGCTGGATGAGTACCTGTAGACTAAAAAGTGCTTCTCTTGTCCCAAGAGAATTCCGAAAACCAAACTGCGAATCTTCAATGTCTTCAGAAAACTCCCCGCTGTTATAAATATTGTCAAAGAGTCTGACGAGTGAGTCTAGAAATTGACTGTTTATTTCGCACAGCATTTTCAATACTATCCCCTATAAGTTATCGTTGCCTAGTCTTTTGTTATTTTTAAGACCCTTTATAGCATTCTCCACTTCTGATTTTAGAATAGAGGGGCCAGTATCATCATTGCTCAGTGTACACCCACTAGGACGGTCACCATTAAACAGTTGTTCAACATCAGATTGTAACTATTTTGTCGGGACCTAGTTGTAGATTTCCATTATCATCGCACAGCCCTTTCGATAAAATATTGTAGCTTTTCTTTGTTGTGAGTTCCTTTATCTTCTTATACATATTGTGATAGTCGTATACCTTTTCGCACTGTTCGATTTCTTCGCATCTCTCCGAGAACCATTTCTCTTTAGTTTTCCTTATCTCAGCTCTTATTCGTCTACGGGTTTCACGGTATTTGGCAGCATCTTTAGTTTTATATATCCGTCTCTCTTCCATCATGTCAAGGATTTCTGCAGTCATCCAGTCTTTCTTTTTTCTCTTATCAGGTAGTAAAAACTTAGTGCTTGAAGTCCTAATCTCTTCTTTAATTTCACTCCACTTTTCCAGCGGTTCATTGTTATTTTTAAGAATTTTTGATATTTGTGTATTTAAATTCTCCTGCATCTGTTGTTTAATATTATTTTTGGAAAGCTTCCTAATATCGAGCGTTTCGGGCCTGTTCTTTACATTTGGCTTTTTTAACTTTACTTCAAACTTATATACCACCGGATTGTGGTTTGATGCTACGTCCGCACCAAAGTAAGTTTTTACGGCTTTGATGGAGTTTCTAAGCCTGATTGGTGCAGCGATATAATCTATTGGATTTCTGATTATTTTACCAGATGAGTCTGCTGGTGATTTCCAGGTATAGAGTCTACGGTGCGGGAGCTTAAAGAGAGTGTTAGTAAGTACTAGGTTGTGTTCTTGGCAAAATTGAACTAGGCGATCTCCTCTTTCCCTTCTTTCACCAAGTCCGAAATTTCGCACTACCTTTCCTGTTTTGCCTCGTCCTACTTTCGCGTTGAAATCTCCCATTATAAGTGTTATTTCATTCTTTTTGGTTGCATTAATTAAGATTTCTAGTTGTTCGTAGAAGTCTTCCATTATTGTTTCCTCTTTGTCAGCTGTAGGTGCGTATATCTGTATTATGTTCAAATCAAATGGGGACGCATACAACTGTAAAATAATCATTACTTATGGTGCGATTTTAAACGAGGTGCAACGATTATTCCAACTCCATGATTGTGTTTAGGGGTATCGTTACCAGAGTAGTACATTGCATGGTCTAGGATATTACATTCTCCCGAGTTGGGCCAATAAGTTTCACTGATACCCATTATATCGATTTTGAGTCTCTTGACTTCTTTTACGATATTATGTGCTTTGCCACTTTCGTACATACTTTTAACGTTCCAGGTGGCGATTTGTAAGCATCTCAATTTAGGTGTTTTACTCTTCAAAATTGTTTTATTGTTGCAAGGATTTCGCATGATGTCGACCTGGGAGACCTTGCATTCTGAGGATCCTCCCTTGCCGGATCTTGACTTCCGAAGTCCATGACACCAAGTCCAATGTAGTGGTTTCCCCTTGCCTTCTACATCCTTATGCCGTTGGCCAAATTTTGGTTTATTCGCCTTCGGAGCCAATTTCTCAACTCCAGGACAAAAGAGTGCCCTACCACTTACCAACTCATCCGCTCGAAGCCGTTGGTCACCAAGTGGGAGATCGCTTATACCGGCAATCGCTTGGTAAAATTTTCGCCATATCTGGCTACCCTCACTTAGTTTAGCCTGCAGAACAATGCAGTTGCCCGGAGTGTGGCACGTGGAGCCATAAGTGAGAATTAGCTGTCTTATAAGGACCAGTTATCAAGAACCATCTCCCGTCTATGACGCTCGATGTGGTCGTTCCGATAAAAGGTGCTACCTCTATAACACAACTCCACACCCCTCAACAAATCATTCCTTAGACAGCAATAATGTATGTGAGTCTATATCAAATACTACTAACCCTGAGATGATATGTGAACAAACACCAATTACTCCTACAGTTAATGAGCACAATCCCGACATACCCACTTCTTTTAAATTTCAAACAACTCCGATAACTAAACCTACGACCTACAAACGAAATTTATCTGAAATTGCAACACCTTACCCAGAAGATACACCAGATATTAATAATTCCTCAGAACCAAAATCTTACTTTTTAACACCTGTTCCAAAAGTTCCAAAGAAAAAGTTGAAATCGAAAGATAAACCCTTATTAGAATTTCGAGAATTGCCCCAAAAGATAACCAATTTAATTGACAATCACAATCCCAAGTTCCTATTCGATAATCAACAATTCACTGATATGTTAGAGAACACTCACGGTAGTAATGATGCATTAAGCATTGGTAAAGACTATACCCTACATATTCCATCTCTTATAGAAATGATACATGAAATACATACCCAGGCTGAAGATCGAAATATGAAAATTAAATGTACTAGACTAAGCAAAAAATTAACTAAACAACTGCTTGAAAACGTTGGTTCATCTGACTTAGACAGCGATATATCTCAAAACTAATTGTTTAAATAAAAATATATTTCATGTATAATAATATTTTACAGTGGAACTTAAACAGTTTTCATACCCGCCTACCCTTATTTCAGGTACTTATTAGGAAATATTCACCTGCTATTATATGTCTTCAAGAAACTAATTTTAAAGGCAACAATGCGTATAACTTGCAGTTATATAATGTTTACTATCAAAATAGACAGACAAATCATGCTAGTGGCGGTGTTGCGATATATGCTAAAACCGATTTACAAGTAAACAGAATCACAATTAATACAAACTTAGAAGCAATAGCAGTACCGGTAACAATAAGTACTAATCAAAAACTGAACATATGTAACATTTATATTCCCCCGAGTCAAAATATCCAAGCAAATGAACTTTCCGACTTAATTATGCAAATTCCATTACCAAAATTAATTCTCAGGGACTTTAACAGCCATAATCTTCTATGGGGTTCCGAAAAAACAACTAAAAATGGAAAGTTATTAGCAAACGTAATCAATAGCATGAATTTAACAATAATGAACGACGGAGCTAAAACTCGTTTCGACGCAGCTACTGGAAATTTTTCAGCTATTGACTTGTCTATTTCTGACGTATCGACGTTACTAAATCCCACATGGCAAACCGTAGACGATTTATATGGAAGTGATTATATCCAATAATAGTAACAAAAATATTCAACCCCACAACAAAAACCAATCCTTTGCAAAAGTGGAAAATTAAGCAAGCCAACTGGATCATTTTTAAAACAAAAATTACTGAAGAAATATCGAATATCCCTATAATTGAAGAAGACATAAACCTTACTTTAAAATTGTTTAATAACTTAATCACTGAAGCCGCCACAATTGCAATGGGAAAAACAAAGTATATAACAAAAAACAAAGTTGTTCCCTGGTGGAATGAAGAGTGTAAATTGGCAATAAAACAAAGTAAAAAATTTTTAAATACTTTCAAAAGACATAAAACCAATGAGAACTTATAGAGCTAAAGAAAAAAAAAGCATATGCAAAATTAGTTACTTCCGAATCTAAAAACGAGTCTTGGAAAAAATACGTTCAAAGTATTAACAGGAATACAAACATGTCATCAGCATGGAAAAAAGTTAAGAGGATATCTGGCGTCAATGTTGCGTAACAACAATACTTAATATTTTTAGTCTAGTTTTGTATCATATTATTTAGTTTATTTTTGTATCATACTGTATATTAGTTTAGATACATAAAATTTCTTTGTACTAATTAATAATCTGTAAAGCGCCGTTATCTTGCATTTAAATAACTTTCTACTAAAGTTTCTAAAACCTTCATAGAATTGTAACAATGAAAGGATTAGTATTTTCCAAATTACCCTCTGACGCATTCCAAAATTCCGCAGGTTGAGACAAATACCCTTATCAGGTAGTTTTTATCAATGGTTTGAAAGTTAAAGGTATTTGAAAAATAAACATATCTTTTAATACGTCGAGGGGTCAGGGGGGAGATTTCGAAATGTTTGTGATTGAGGGGATAGAATGGACATCAGTTCACAGTTCAAATCCATCAAGAGTATCAGCTCAAATTCCAGCACTGAAGGAGCGTCAGGCTCTACTCGCCCCAGCGGCATATTAGTGTTTTAATCCAGTCGGTATATTAATAAGTTCGTGTCAATATTGTATCACCGACAAGTGTGTATCATATGCAAGTTAGCGGCGTTTAAAATACATTGTATTTGTTTAAATATATTTGTTCAAATGTTCTTTTCGAATCTTTATTTTTCCCAGTTTTCTGGGTGGTCCTTCAAAGAAATATATATATAAAGTGAACCTATTTCCCTAAGGAAAAACCTTGTTCCCAAAGGGAAAAAACCAGCGACCTATTACTGGTGCGCGAAACAAAGCCATCAGGACAAAGGTGTAAGGACAAACACCTACATCTTCGCTCAGTCAATACACAAAATGGAATAAAATACCTAGAACGAAATGGAAACATAATTAATGAAAACAAAAAAAATGTAGAAGAATTAGCTGAAACATACAGACAAGATTCTACAAATGAAAATTACAGCAATACTTGTTTACGATATCGGGAAGAAGAAGAAGCGAATTCAATAGAAATTATAGCCAATAACGATGATATAAATACTCCAATTAATAAAACAGAACTATTAGAAATAATTCATATGTTAAAAGACACATCCCCAGGTCCAGACAACATACCCGCAATATTCTTAAAACAGTTACCTAACGAAGCTTTAGACTTTCTATTGAATCTTTTTAATACAATCTGGTGTAAACAAAAATTTCCTGACTTATGGAGACAAGCTATTGTCATCCCTATACTAAAACCTAGCAAACCGGCTACAGCGGCAGAATCGTATAGGCCAATATCACTTACATGTTCTACTTGCAAACTGCTAGAGAAAATAATAATTATAATAGACTTATGTGGCATTTGGAACATCACAATTTGTTTATACCAGAACAAACTGGATTTCGTCCTTTGAGATCTACTATAGACAATGTTTTACATTTAGAAAGTCAAATTAATGAAGCCTTCTGTAACAAACAGAAATGCATAGCTGTTTACTTTGACATCCACAAAGCATTTGACTTGCATGGCGACACAGAATATTAACAAAGCTGCACACTTGGGGAATTCAAGGAAACATGTTGGCATTTTTGAATAACTTTCTAAATGAACGCAAATTTTCAGTACGTAGTAATGGAGAACTTTCTAGTATCAAGTGTCAAGACAATGGAATACCACAAGGATCAGTAATTAGCCGAACACTATTTTTAATAGCAATTAATAATGTTATAAAAAATCTCAAGAGACCTGCACAGGCTAGATTATATGCTGATGATATGATAATGTTTATCAAAGGAAAAAATATTAACTCGATAGTCAAAATTTTACAAGAAGAACTAAATAGAATCGAAAGTTGGTCTAATAGGAGTGGATTCTATTTTTCAACTGACAAGACACAATATATTATTTTTTACAAAAAGTCTATTCACACTAACATACCTGCCTTATAATTCGGCACAAAGTTTTTAAAACGAAGTACAAATATAAAATATTTAGGCATAACATTTGAGGAAACTTTAAGTTGGAAACCACATATTATTAAACAATTGGCGATATCATGTCAAAATGGTATAAATCTTCTTAAAAATGTTTAGCCAACAAACAATGGGGTGCTGACGAAGATACATTATTACTGTTGTATAGAAGCCTAATCCGATCAAAATTGGACTACAAATGCATTGCATATTCTTCAGCGTCGAAGTCAAATTTAAAAATCTTAGACGTATTCACAACAATGCATTACGCATACTCTCTGGAGCTTATAGAACAACTCCTGTTGCAAGCCTCGAGTGGGAACTTGGAAAGCCATCATTACATGAACGACGGAAATTACTTAGTCTATCTTACGCTTTAAAACAAACATCACTCCTACTCAGTCATCGTTATCCAAATATCAATATAAGAACACATTTACCATTTACATTACATTACATTACATTACATTTTAAACTCTATTGAAATTTTTAACTTTCCCTCAACACATTCGGCAAACGTAAACACGTCACCTCCCTGGTTAATACCTTTGCCTACTATAAATTTAGAACTATCATCATATCGTAAATCTGAAACTAATCCACAAATATTTATAAGCAATTATAATAGAATACTTTCTTCTTTCCCTGAATATACCAAAGTTTACACAGACCCATCTAAAACAACGTCTGGTGTAGGATCATCATTTGTTATAAGAGACATAATTAAAAGTTTCAAATTGCCCACAAAATCCACTGTGATAACTGGAGAATATACAGAGCTCTAATTCACATACAAACAGTCAAACCAGATAAGTTCCTTATTATTACTGACTCAATCAATTCCCTTCATATACTGTCAAAAATGTACACTTTTAGTTAAATTAATTAAAAACAAATTGCAGCAGCTGGAAAACAAATCATTAATCTTCCTGTGGGTACCATCACATATAGGCATTAAAGGAAACGAACTAGCTGATAAAAATGCTCGAGAAATAGCAAATTCCCCAAATATCAGACCGATAATAAAACCATTAGCAGAAGATCTCAATCCGTACTTTAAACAAAAGCTGATATGTAATTGGACTAAATGTTGGGAAGAAAAATCCTCAAAGTTAAAAGAAATTAAACCAAATTTTGGACGATGGACTAACAACGCCCCTAGCCGTTTCCTTCAGGTTGTATTAAACAGGCTCCGATTAGGACGCAGCAAACTCACACATGAATATCTCATAAAGAAGGAACCTCAACCAAAATGTACGAGTTGTGACGAGCCGTTAACAGTGAAACACTGTCCCAAATATAGTGCTGAAAGACTAACTAATAAAACTCCATCAGTTATAAGGCATCTGTGTGTCACTCCATCTTTAGTGAGTGTACCAGTGAAAATATTGTGAAATTTCTTAAAGACATTAATATTCTTAACAAAATATAATATTTATTTATAAGTTACTTATCTCATGTTTATGTTTATATGTCACTACTAACCCCAGAGGTTGATGCGACCAGGTTTGTAAATAAAAGAAAAAAAAATATTATAGTTACAGCAAGTTCTTTTATTGAAGAAAAAGAAAGAAATGAAGGATTGTATAAATTATTGTGTGATGATATTGATATTGTGTGTATATTTTGTAGTAAAATGAGTATTTGAATATAAACATACCTAATAATTTTTATCTTTACCGACAAAAAATATCGAAAGTTATATTTACTATACTTTATGATTTTTGTGCTATTAAAATAAATATCGTGTGTATTAAATATAAGATATTTTACACCGGAAAATAAATAAAAATTATATCGTATGTATATGATGTTTTACGTTGGCGTTTCACATTGTTTTTTATCGTGTCTACTACTTGCTATAGATCACTTCTAGGCCAGGGAAGTGAGCAAAAAAAGTACCCTGTTTTTGACACTCGTCCGGCCAGGCAAACGACAGTTGTTTTGAGTAGTATGGACCTCTGTTATAAAAACCTATATGTTTCCTGCAGTCGATTTTTTGGACTTAATTAGTTATTAACAAATTAAGGTCAAAAAAACGGAAAATTTTTGCTTTTTTCGTCTATCAGCAAAAAGTGAAGCAATTTAAACAAATTTTAGAAGAGAGGAAACTTATAAGTTATATAAAAACCTTCAAAATGGCGTTTTCAAAATATTTCTATCCTTATTATTTGTTGCTTAGAAAGTTGCAAAATGAGTAAAAAATTTCGGATTTTTATAAATGTTAATAACTTTTTTTAAAATAAACTTATAATATTTATATTTCATGGAATGATGTATCTTGTAGTGCTCAAACTAGGGTCAAAATTTCAAAGTGATCGGTCCCATAGTTTAAAAGTTATTTTAGTTGTTTATTCCAAATTTACATTTTTTGCAACAATATGTCAGAAATTTATACAGTTTTAGTAATTGTAAGGGTAGTTTCTGGTAGAAGAAGACTTTTTAATTATTTACGTTAGAAACAAATTAAGAAAATTAATTTTAAATATTGCAAAATGATTTTGCAAAAACATGTCGATTTTTTGCTTATAAACAATTAGAATAACTTTTTAACCGTTGACTGTAAAAATATTATTTTTACATATTTAAAAAGCCTGAATTTTTTCACAAATTTAAATAAAAAAAAGTTTGTCCTAAAATAATTTGGTACATTTTTTATTTAATTCATAGCACCTTTGTTTATAATAATTAAGAAATATAATTAGCACTATTTGAAAGAATATACATGATAGTTTTACAGTACTAAATTTTAAATTTATTGCCCTTTAATGGAATCGTTCACAAAGCTTCAAAATGTATGTAAAATCGGTCGGCTTTGAAACTCTCTTGAGCTGAAGGGAGGGGGAAGGCGCTGTTAACTGTATCTCTGTTCTTTTTTACGTATTTCAACGTTTCTTTTCGATTTCTACTTCGGAAACCTTTCTCACACTACAGAACATTAATAAATTAATCAAATTTTGTTTTTGGTTACTTGGTAGAAAATTTTTCTGATAACTCTTCTGTGTGATTGATTAGTGTGAGAAAGCTCAGTAGATCTGTTATAGTAAAAATTACAAAAAAAAAGTTATTGACAAAAATTGTACACAGCTTTAAACTCCACATTTTAAAATTAGTTACAATCTTACAGGTTGTTTTATGAGATGGTGGCAGACCAAACTTATGTTTTTTTTTTAAATGAAACACTCTGCATTTTATTTTAAATTTGAAATCTGCTTCACTTTCACATCACAACAATGTAAAGTTTTATTATGTTATACCGGGTATTTAAAAAGTTCTAACCAATATTACCATAAAATCGTATCGTATCAAGTTTAACTCCCTGTATAATTAAAAAGGAGTATAGGACCATTGATCTATTGCAACCATAGTTTTTAAATAATTGTTAAAAATTATAAAACATATTCGTTTTCATAATATTCGTTAAATCAAATACATGGTAAGTCAAAATGCAAGTACATTATTTTCTTGGTAATTTTAAATAGAACACCCTGTATTTTATATCACTATCGAAAAGCTCTAATATCGTAATTCAAATTTTATATACTCCCTATATATAAAGTTATCAGTTTTCTAGATATTTTTATTTTTCTATCAAAGTATTAATTTTGCAGATATTTTAACGTTTACCAATAATTATTGTGAGTTGACCATGATTGATTTGTCAGAAACTGACAGTTTGACATTATTGTTTATAAATTCAGTATTGGGATACATCGTAAATTAGCAACAATTATTATTTAGCAATTCAGTAATTTATTCAATTTAAATTAGCAATAATGAATTTTACTACTGATGAAATGATAGATAAATATGATCTGGATATTGGGGGAATGCAATAAAAATTTACTACTATCAGCTAGAATTTATCATGAACGGTTTCCAGATAGGCGGCAGCTTAGACAAGATATATTTGAAAAATTGAAAGATCGATTTAACCGCACTGGATCAGTGAATTATAAAAAACATGAACGAACAAAAACTAGTGTCACAGAGATAAACGAAATGAGTGTGTTGATGGCAGTTACAGAAAACCCACTCACAAGTATAAGGAGTATTTCCAAGAAACAAGAACTTAGTTACTACTTTGTTCAAAACATTCTATCTAAAAAAAAAGATGCACCCATAACATATTCAAAAGCACCAAGAATTAAATAATAATGATTTTCAGAAACGAATAGTATTTTGTGAATGGACCATAAAAAAATTAATGAACAGAGATTTTTTTTGATTATATCATATTTGGTGATTGTTCAATTTTTTCACATGCGAAAAATCATGTCATTTTTTCGCTGTATTATTAACTATCCTTATATCACAATTTTACAATCATTATCCTAGTTCAACCCTTAATAACCCTTCCTACTTACAGTTCAACCCCCTCTCTTAAGAAATACAGACAGTTTCAAGATAGCAAAGAAGAAAGACACTCTTTCGATGGTCGTCTGCCGCTAAGGACAGACCATTCTCAACTCTCTTAGTTTGGCCATCGCTAGAGCCAGACGTCCTCTCTCTTGATCTGGCCACCGCTAAAGCCAGTCGTACTCTCTCTCTTTCATTCTCTCTCTCCGCTTATCAAGAAGAACAGCATCTATCTTGGCTGTTTTTCTGTCGTAATTACATCTTTCCCGCTTTAGTTACGCGAGAAATATCGAAAATACTGTATTAAATCGTGTGCAGACAAAGTGTGCTCTATATCGTGATATATTTGCAAAACACGTGTTCAGAAACCGGTGCATCGGACAGATTTCGCGGGTATAGAATAACCACGAGTGAAGACCGGAAACAACCGTGAGAGTGTGGAGCAGAAAAAATATTGGTAAGACTTTCTATAAACTTAATTTCGTATTGTCTGTATACCTTTTACTACTTATCCTAATTTGATTGAACCAGCCCCATATAATACAGTCCACATACATGGAAATTTAATTAATAATTTTCCACATATGTACTCCATTTTTGTACATATTTTGGTCTCATTCAAGCCCGATATCAACCATAATCTCTCTCTCTCTCTATCTCTCTGTCTCACATCTTGATTCTTCATAGTGTTTTACACTTTTGAGTCATATGTAATTCTCTCTGTTTTATCTCTTGCTCGATTGAACATATTTTGATCCAATTCGGTTCAAAATTTCTATCTCTGCTGTAAATCTCATTAGATTTTCTTATCTTCGCAGTATATATACGCAGCATATATATATATATATATATATATATATATATATATATATATATATATATATATATATATATACATATATACATATATATATATATACATATATATATATATATATATATATATATGTATATATATATATATATATATATATATATATATATATATGTATATATATATATATATACATATATATATATATACATATATATATATATATATATATATATATATATATATATATATGTTCCTTGATATATATGTATATGTAAACGTATGTATTTGTAAATCAATATATTGATAAATCGTTGTTTAATAATTCTTACCTGTGGAAATGTTCAATTTTGGAATTAATATTGTTTAAAAACGTATAATAGAAGTAAATACCTACCTGTGACGTAATAAAAATTCCACCCTTTTGTCAAGGAAACATTGTATTGTTCTCTGTCACGTTTTGCCTAGGTAGCTACCCGTTTAGATAAATAATTTGGCTGTCCCAGGTTCTGAATAATAAACTTTTACAAGAATTCTCCGCTATTATTCTCGATAATCCTTAGTATAATAATAGCTTTATTCAAATCGCTTAGTGACACCAACAAAATATTTACAATAATCTCTCCTCTTAGAAAATATTTGCGTATTAGGTAGTTACTTTATTAAATCAATGAAAATGATCCCCATTAGAATTTATTTAAATTAAATTCACGATACCAAATATAATTTCAACTCAATAAAAAAAAGAAATTGATAATTGTTAGTGCCAAACCGGACCTGTTCCGAATTCCAGACGATGGTACGAGGGGTGCGGGTTGCTCCCCCACTCACCGAGAAAAGACACAGTCCACTACAAGCTTTCGAAGAGTAAAGACAATTTAAAAATATATTTGTGTATCGCTATTGTTTTAAACTTTATAATAAAAACGTGAAATTCTCAAAACTTACACTATTTATTAACATAAAAGTTGGTTCTTCGACCGGATTTAAAACAAATTAGTTTTCAACCCGATTTGATATCGACAAATCGCTTTTTACTTGTATTGAATAAGTTACATTTATTCAATACAACAACAGAAAAATACCTGCATTGGACCTTTTACTGACGACAGCGGATTAACTTAACAGCTGGACGCGCCATAAACAGGTTAGTGTGCTCTTATTCTGGTATCCGTTCGTTTCTATCTGACAATATTTACTGTATTTTATTCATATTCTAATTTGAAATTTTATTTACTCAATTTCACATTCATTTTAGAATAACGACACAGTAATTATTACAATCACACAGATTAACTTCATTTCAATAATCATTTTTAACATTTTTTTCATTAAACATATAGCGATATATTTCAATTTGTCTTTACTAAAATACATATATACAGGGTGTACTATTATACAAATTTTAAAATGTCTTCTGCTAAAGTTACTCGTACTTCAATTAAAGCAACCCTTACTCGTTTTAGTAACTATTTTAACGCGATTAAAGATTTGAGATGTGATGAAATCGACTTATACGAACTGCAACAGCGATTAAATAAAGCTGAAACACTGCTAGACGATTTCAACACAGCTCAATCAACAATCGAAGCACAAGATACTGATTTTGATGCTAATTGTGAGGTTCATTCCCGCGAGAGAGAGAAATTTGAAAACGATTTTTACAAAATTATTGCAGCTACTAAAAAACTAACTACTTCTCTTACTAATACCAATAATACACTCGATAACAATGATAGCATTAGCTCTGCAGAAAGTAACTTTTCAAACATTCGTTTACCACAGTTAAACTTACCAACATTTGATGGTTCTTTTGACCAATGGCTTTTCTTTAGAGATAGTTTTACATCCATTATACATAAAAATTCATCTATGTCTAAAGTACAAAAATTTCACTACCTGCGGCTTTCCCTACAAGGAAAAGCAGCAGACAAAGTTAAATCCTTACAATTGTGTGACGCAAATTATGACATTGCTTGGAAGCTACTTAAAGATCGTTTTGAGGACAAACAGATTCTTATTAAAAATCACATTAAGGCTCTTTTTGATCTCCCTTCTTTGACAAAAGAATCTTATTATGGTTTAACATCAATTCGCGATGGAATCGAGAAGAACTTGAACGCATTAAAGGTGCTACAACGGCCTACTGAACATTGGGATGATTTAATTATATACCTTGTTACCAATAAATTTGATAACATAACAAAACGAGCCTGGGAATCGCGTACTGATGCAAAGAACATTCCAACATTGCAAAATTTACTCACCTTTTTGGAAGAACGTTGTCGTATCTTATCATCATTAACCCAGCATCAGGACGAAGATCACACGAAACACATTGGATTGAAACAATCACATAGGCACACAAAATCATTTGTTTCTACCACTGCAACTACTTGCACTTTGTGCAATGCTAGTCATAGTTTGTACACTTGTGACACATTTTTGAAATTAACACCTGTTGAAAAATTAAATACTGCGAAACGTTTGAGGTTATGTATCAACTGCCTAGGCAATAATCACATAACACGAAACTGTAAGTCTTCTGGTTGTAGAAAATGTGGAAAAATACATCACACTTTGCTTCACTTTCAAAATAATGAAAGGGAGCAGATTCAAGCTACTCATAGCACAAAAAACGATATTGGATCGATCCCCAGCACTTCAAATGAAACTGTCAGCTTGACATCTAGTCTTTCCACACCATCTCAGACACTCCTTTCAACTGCTTGCATTACAGTGTTTGACAACTTCAACAATCCACATCAGTGTAGAGTGCTCCTTGATAGTGGAAGCCAAATAAACTTCATTTCTGACAAACTTGCAAATATCCTACAATTGCCTAAAATTCGAATTGATAGTTCCATATCCGGAATAAATCAACTGCAAACTAAGGTTACATACTCCATTTCTTTACTGTTCAAATCCAACATCAACAATTTTCAAAGACGTATAACTTGCGTTGTCTTAACTCGCATTACTGGTAACTTGCCATCCTTGCCAATTAGTACTGACAAACTAAACATTCCAGAAAATATTACTTTGGCTGATTCTGAGTTTAACAAACCTGCTCCTATTGACTTACTGATAGGTGCAGATATATTCTGGGATCTAATAAGCATAGGGCAAATTAAACTGGGACATAATCTACCCATATTACAAAAAACCAAGTTAGGTTGGTTAATATCTGGACCTATACACACCAAAAACAATACATATACAAGTTTGCACTGTTCTGCAACAAACAACTTGGACAATCAACTTTCCAAATTCTGGGAAATAGAAGAGTATCCAAAAACTGAATTTTTTTCTGATGAAGAAAATTATTGTGAACAACATTTTAAACAAAATGTAACTCAAGACGCAGATGGACGTTTTATCGTCACAATTCCACTCAAAAAATCAATTTCTGAGCTTGGAGACTCCAGAACTGCAGCAACTAACAGATTCTTGACATTGGAGCATAAATTACTTAAGAACAATGATATGCGATTTCAATATCATCAATTTATCAGGGAATACATTGATCTTGGACACATGTCTTTGGCTGAAGATCAAAATGACAGAAATGGTTTCTTTCTTCCACATCATTGTGTGCTTAAGGCTGACTCCACTACTACAAAACTTCGTGTCGTTTTTGATGGTTCAGCCAAAAGCTCGACCGGTGTTTCACTTAACGACCTTATGTTGGTCGGTCCAAACGTTCAAGACAACTTATTTTACATATTACTCCGCTTTAGAAAACACAACTATGTGTTGAGCGCAGACGTAGCAAAAATGTATCGACAGGTACTAGTACAAGAATCTCAACGTAACCTGCAAAAGATTCTATGGCGTTTCAACGCTAATGATAACATTCTAGTGTATACACTAAACACTGTGACATACGGATTAGCTTCTGCCTCTTTTCTTGCCATTAGATCACTTCAAGAGGCCGCTTATAGAAACATGAATAGATTTCCTAAAATTTCTAATATCATTT